GCTAATGTTTTGAACACATTACTCTTTTCCCCTTTTGTCTTTCGGCCCGACGATTCCAAATGGCGAAAATATTGGACGGCAAGAACGAAACCAAATTGAAAGCGAGGAGAAAAAAACGCCATGTATATAAAAACGATAAGATGATTTCAAGCCATTGTATATTATTTCAATGGCACATTATTATTACGGAATTTCTGCGCTACTTGGATTTTATTCGCGTCATATTGACTCAATAGAATCTGACTTCAAAACATGTGCGCACAAACACACACACACACAATATCCATACTAAAATATTTTAGACATCGATTCATACAATTCTTGTTGATCTTTTACTTTTGTTCACGATTTTCAATGATTCCACTTTGTTGATTCAGTTCATTTTTTCTCTGCAACCTTTTATTTTAAGATTTTCTCTCTCACTCCGGGCTTCGTCGGTTTTTTTTTTTTTTTTTTTTTTTCATTATTTAAGGGCAATGTGGGTGAAGAATAGCGAGCTTTTTGTGGTTGTTGATTATTTGCCTATTTACGGGAATTTCATCTTGTGTTGAGTTGTGCAATTTTTTCTCTTAATAGATTCTTTACACAACACACACACAAAAGGTACGGATGATGACGACCGTATAAAAATGGGAAATCACTGAAATTTGAGACACAATACAAGACATATTCTCATTGCATTGACGTATTAATATCGAGAGAATAATAATGAAAAAAATAAACAACAACAAAAATTACAGATGAATGAACAAAGGAGCAAATTTTCATAATGATCATGTTACATATCAACTCAAATTGGAGATGTGCACCAATTTGAATGTCGCTATTTGATGGCGGAACGCAACACGGAAACAACAACAACAGCAGCAGCAGCAGCAGCAGCAGCAGCAGCAGCAGCATTGGTTGAAAATCTCGATACGAAGAATTTCAATTAAAACTGCTGTTACACAAATGAGAACAGAATGATGCGACTGATCACATCAATATTGAAGGCATATTTCATATTTCATGACATTTTCCATACATAATTTTCTTTCGTTCTATCTTGGAATATTGTGTCTTTAATATTCAAGTAGTTTCATTCAAGTTTTTTTTTCACTTTAAATGTTGCGCAATAGAACATAAGTCGTAATAGCAGCACTTCAAATATCTCTTTCAAAAAAAAAATATTTCATCACTTAATTTTTTGTTGTCATTTGCTTCGAGTTCCGCCCGGAATAACCATAAAAATACGCTTTTGAAATATGTATCGATGCAATTGCTGAAAAATATATGCAGTGACACTCGACATAGTCTAGCCAAACCCAAAAAAACCCAACATCGATTGAAATGGAAACATCTATTACTGTTGCTGCTGTGGCCGATATTGCAGCTTTCATCCGATGTGTGTGGATCAGTTTTTATAGTAATTGCCATTCGTTCATTCTCTTTTCACTTAATGAAACGCAAAACGATGGCGATAGCAAAAATAAAATGTGTAAACGAAATCCATAAAATCCGACGCATAACTCACCCTTTTCACCAAAATCCATTTCTTTTCATTCCCATTGTGTGTGTGTGGATGTGCGTTGTTCCGTTCTCTCACTCTCCTTGTCCATATTGATGGCAGTGCAAGGTTTTAAGCAGTAGCACACTGGTGGCTCTGGAAAAAGGAAATGTTCTCTCAACAGGAGGTAATATTTCATTGAATAAATGGTCGTTACCATTCTTCGTTTCGCTCTCTCTCTCTTTCTCTTTCAAGCGTATTTTGCTCTGTGTGCTATCATGATCCTCTTTGCTCTTCCGTCTCATATACTCACTCAGTTCCTCTCTTTTTATCGCATCTATCTTTGTTACCCGTTTACTGTGTGAATCCACTACATCTTCTTTGTTTGATGCATCTGTTCGGGCTGGTGAGTCAGTGCGAAGAGCAAGTAAACCACTTTTCTTTCATCATCTTGCATGCGATATTCATCCACTAGATGAATAGAAATAATGATGGCGAGTGGCTATGATACAACGCCAAAAATAGACAACTTCGAATTGAACAAGTGAAAAATAAGAAGAAAATGAGAAGAGAAAAAAAACCTGGTCGTTTCACTCAAAACATACATATATAGTCTGTTTGGAGTCGAATGTTTTGCAGCTCAAAATGATTTCTTTCACGTTGTCATGGTACGAGGGCGATAGTGTTACATTTACAATCCGTAAATATGCGAAATGCGGCAAATAGAAGTATCATGAAGCACATCATGTACAATCTTTGTATGCCAAAAGTGATTGCAGTAGAGGAAAAATCCATTACACCTTCTTCTCTCGAAGATGTGGCATATACACACACAAACACAAACACACCATTCAGAAACGAACAACCACTAAATTGGCTTCATTCTTTTATACTTTTCATTCTTTTGTTGTGCAACGTTACTCTCATCTTAATGTCGGTAGCGAATGAAAACTAGCAAAATATCTATGACCACTTTTTAGTGGCAAAAATAGATTTTAATTTTCGCCAAAGCCTTTGGTCTAAGCATCAAGTTCGCGTAAAGCTTATACGTTCGTTCGTTCATTTGCTCTTCCATTTGAAAACTGGGCGCTAAGAATGAAATTTATCGGTGATTCTAAATCAAACATTCCGTAAAATGGAAAATCGTGTTGCATTAGAAAATCTTAACGTGGTATGATAAAAGAATAAATATGTTGTTCGTTTGAAATAAAAATGATAGTAGAAAAGCGACTGAAACGAGTAACGATAGAATTGGAATAAAAAAAATAGAGCACATACCGGCGATTCTTTGTGCGCTCAGTGTGTATTTGCTGCAATTGAATTTGCTGGTTACGGCACATGGTGCGCGCACACTTTCCATTTGCCCGAATTGCAATCGAGTTCAAATGAGAAGCATTGTGACGCGCTGAATGAATGCAATGCTGATGCGCTTAAGTGGTGTGGTGCAAAGCGCATTCCAACAAAGTGTTACCGGGAAATTCAATGCCGCCGTTCCTTATTTATTTATTAGTTTCACGATGTTCATGGTTTTTTTTCATCAACGGCACTGTTATTCTCGTCGTCGTCGACGATGTACAGCATTTCCATTTCAAGTGTTGTTGTTTGTATGTGTCTCGAATTTTCACATTGTTGTTTACATAAAATCATGCAAGCCAAGACCATTCATGTTCGATTCGCATGTTTTGCTCGTTTATTATTTAGATGGTCGTTTTCAACGAGTCGAATATTTATTGCGCGTTGTGAAAATTTAGCATGCAATCAAAAGCTGAATTGAACAAATGCGCGCGTTCACCATTTGAAATGAAAAACGTTCCTTTGTGTGCAAACCACTTTAGACACATAGAGAGAAAGTAAAAGAGTGAGAGCGACAGAGAGAGAGAGAGAAAGAGAAGTGAATGGCAATAAGGAATCCTTACAACGGAATTTTCATTTGAAAAACCATGTTCGAGTCAACTCACCGTCATGAAAAAGAGTCAAAACGAAAGGAAACCAAACCTCAACCAAAATGTAATGTAGAATGCACATGTGAACAGAAAATGCAGACACGAACTTCACCATTGATAAGATTAGAAAATATTGCTTTAAAAACCCAAATTGTTGTACATATATATAGACTGGAACCACTTAACACACGAGAATGAGAGAGACACACAGACAAAGAAAAAAAAATCAATTAAACAAAATCGAAGAAAATTCTTAAGAAAAATCAGAACTTGGCTCACTTCTAAGCGTTTTTCACCCAACTTCAAATCAACGGCGGCGATTTCTTTGAAATAGATAAGAATTTATTGCTGATGTTTTGGCTTGTGAAGTAAATCGAAGCAAATGTCTTTTAAGCGTATATCTGTGTATGGGGAGTTTTATTTTTTCTTCATATAGTTGTAAAGCGAGTGTGTTAGTGTTTTGTATTGTATGTTTAAAGATGTATGGCAATTGCCATTGAATGTTATCGCATCACTTATATCCCATACGATTTGAAATGGCATCACTTATTCCATCCATATATTATGGAAATACTTGAAATTCTAAAAAAGTCGCTGGTTATCAGCACAACACTACTTATAAGAACAAAATAACAACAGCAATAACAAAATTTATCTTACATTAAAAAAGAACTATTTTCTGCCCCAAATTTCAAATTTTTTTTTTGTTCTATTGTGTATGTGTTACAGTTTTAACAGTTTTATGGTCTTTTTGTTGGTCTTGCAGCACCGTTGTTGATGTCGTTCAATCGATGTGTATGCGTGTGTGTGTTTTTCATGTTATTCCTTCTTTCACGAACCGGAGAGGGCGAGGGTCCATTCACTTATGTTTATATTTCTCTTTATTGTTAACAATAAAACAACGTGCAGAGCATGTATCGGCATTCGATACTAATTTATAGGGCATGTCGACACGGCTTGCGATAAAAATCGAATGGGCTCTCTTCAAATAAAGCAGGACGATGAAAATACCTCACTACAATCGACTGAGCGCGATCTCAATGGACTAAGCAAAGAGAGGGAGAGAGAAAAGAAAGCGACCATGAGCGAGTGAATGAATCGGATTTAAGATGGCATGTATAAGAAGGCCAAATGTGCACACATTCACATGATATTAAATAAATATCTCTGGCCAAAAAGATTAATGTCCAGCATTCACAATCAACGAACGACCCTTTTTCTACTCATTTTTCTCTGCTCTTATTTTATTTCATTGTCGTTCGGCCAAATGATAAGAAACCAAAACTCTTTAGCCAAACATTGCCGTGCGACGAATATAATCACGCTAATAAAAATAAAATAAAACAGTAACATAATGAGCCAATGCCAAACGCACATTTTTCTCGCGTTTGGCTCATTCTCTTCTCGTTTTTTTTTTTCTCATCTCACACTCATATTCTTTTTCGTTCGTCCACATTTTGTGCAGAAATTCATTCTGCGTGTATAAATGTTTAGTCTGTACAAATAAATGCAATTAACACATTTCATTTTCTTTGTAATAATCATGTTTTTTCTTCTCTTTTAATTTACAGATGATACGTGGGTAATGCGGCTACCATTGTGAGCATCGTGCAAAATATAAAAATAAAACGGCAACGAATCAAGCTTCAATGATATAAGTTATCTCATGGTTTAAAAGCATTGCACCTTGCTTTATTTGCTGCTGACGTATTGTTTTTCTTTTTGTGCTCGTCGTCAATTGCCAAGCAAACATTTTAAAAGTAAATAAAGCACAAATTCAACGTAACTGAATTCAAATAAAGTATCAAGCTGAAATAACAATCGAAATCTTAAATCCCAAACTATACACATCGGATCGCGCGCTGAATTTTTTTTTATTTCAACGAGCATCAATACACCCGCAGCAACTTCGTTTCACTTGGTCGATTCGACAATATTTATTTTTTTTTTTGCATTCATTCAGTTTGGCCGCATTTGCTACTGCAAAAAAGACCCTTTGTTTTTAGTTCAGCTATCAAATTAAATATTGGCCCCGGTTCAACAGAGCAAACTCCGCAGAATAAAAAAAAGACGGGTAGCCAAAATACGTTCCAACAAAACAAACAGAGCACACAAATTTTGGTGCGTGGCAAAAAAGACAAGTAAATCCCACATTTGCATTGATATAGACAAAAGATACATACCGATCCAACTCAAGAGTGAATATACACCGTATGTGTGTGTGTGTGTTCAAATGAGCGGTCTAAGCCAGAATCGGCGATAAAAATTAATTGGCCGTGAACGATGCAAATTATGTTAACACACCACCACCACAGTCGTTGTTATTATTATTATAGCCATTATTGTTTGAATAGAGCGATTTCCGAACGTCGAACGTCATAGAAATGTGCAAGCCTACACAGTTTGTTATTATGTCTTTAGTGTTGTTTATGACAGTGCTGCTCATTGGCGCTGTGTCCAATGAGTCAGTGAATAAGGATAAATCAGTATTGCCATCGATTCCACCACCATTACCATCATCAAGCGTTCCAGTTGCATCGGTGGCGGCAGCGCCGGCAATACCATTGTCACCAGCGCACGGAATCATTGCCGATCACATGGATTTGCCAACGAAATTTGGCGACGAAGACGATGTGATTGAGGGAAAAGCAGCAGCCGAAAAGAAAGCATCCGTAAATGCTGGCATTGGTTCGTCTGCCAGCCGAAATGATGACGATGACGAACATTACGATGAAGATGATGATTTCTTAAGTCGTCACATTTCTGATAAAAGTAGAAGTGGCGGATCACATCATCGCGACAACGACGAATCAGAAGTTGATTATGACGACAGCGATTTGGGACCGACATTGGATAATTTCGGTGCAAAATTGGATGGAAGCGATGCAGGCAATGAATTGCCAATATTTTTAGAGGAACCACAAAATGCTTATGCCGTTCGAAATCGAGCCGCTACGTTAAAATGCAAAGCAGCCCATGCATTAGAGGTATGTTATTATCATTTTATCTCATCACCAATACTATTTCATTACAGTTGAATGATTTTTGCCAGCTCACACCACGGTCTCGAAATGCCAAAACAACAGGCAACCGCTCAGTAAGTGCACGCGCACAGAAAAAGAGAGAGAGGGAGAGAGAGAGAAAAAAAAACAAACATGCATTGAATATACAATCACATATTCAGGTTTTATCTGATCACTTTTTAATCACGTTAAATGGAAATGCAAAAGCAAAACGCATTTCGAAGGGAGAACGGGACAAGCGGGTAATCTAAATGCGCATATAATATAAAAAAAGAAACAGCTAAGTCGGAATCTTATTTTCAACATATCGATTTCCATTTGCCCGAAATCAGCATGGAAAAAGAAAGAGAAATGTCACCAACGCATTCGGTTTTTTTTTTTCGTTGTTGATATTGTGCGTTTTTTTCTTCTTCTTTCGCTTCTTCGTCATATGTTTTTCGTTATACATCTACTACATATTCATAGTAAATTTACACACAAAAAAAGAGACCAAAAGAATGAAAGAAACGGAAATTTCATTCGTTGAAATTGCCTCCTTTCAGATGTGTAATCTGATAATCGAAAATTGGTTTAAAGTGCAGTTGAAAATTTAGTGTTTCACCCCTCGTCTCTTCTCACTTTTGCCATTGGCAATACGAATGTCGTCATCATTACCGTTCCTATTCTCATTCACCTTTTCTAACATTTTCTTCGTTAACGTTCGGTTTTGGACGTTTGTAACGCAATTTATGCGATATGGTGGCATCACCCTCTCTCTCTCTTTCAGCAAACAATATTTGGCGCGCTTGCATTGTGCGCGCACATCATACGTATTTCCCAAAGCGCATTATCTAATGAAATTGAAATGCGTCTGCTTCTCAGCTACACACATAATTCTCTCATTCTTTCATTTTCTATTATTTCTTTTTTCATTCCTTTTTTGCCTGGAAATTTATTCTCCAACTTCAATTGTTTCCACTCGGATTCCGTTTGCGTAAAAAGATATCGAAAAATAAATAAATAAGCAGTTTGTATGAACACCATGAATATTTGAAAAAAAAAAGAAAAAAAAAATACATAGAGACAGATAGATAGATGGTGAGAATAGAGAAGGTAAAGTGTACAACAAATGGAATATGTTGCTATGACGATGCACAATCAGGTCCGAATGGTAACAATGTTAAATGTAACCTGTAACCGATGCCGTTTTTTTTCGATGTAACCTGTACGAATGAAATCATAATAGCAAGCAAACAAGCAGAATATGGCAGGTAGTCAAAATTAACGATAATGCGTCCAGTATTTTTCGTTACCGAAATAAACATGCACTTTATCCAAAGTCATAAACGCATTTGTGTAAGAGAAAACTGATATTGAACATGAAAAATAAAACAAAACAAAAAATACAACATACATGAATGATGGTTCGTTTTGATATGCTTTCAAATGTACAATCAACATCGGTCCTGGCGCCGTTCTAATCTTTTTGAAAGGTTCACTTCACATTTTAACTGAATCATCGTACCGAACGCGCCACACCACAGATATGCCATCGGGCTTCACCAATCTTGATGAGTGCATCGTCTTTTTTTTCTTCATTCGGTCGTTTTTGTAAATTGTTGTGCCTTCTAAGAAATCGAATATGAGTGACAAACGAATTGTTACTGATGACAAAATAATATTTACAGTTTTCCTGTTTTGGCTTTTTACATTCAATTCTTTGCCAAGAATCGACAACTTTCTTACTTAACGCACTCTTAATTCTTCAACGTTGGTACTCTCGCGCTCTCTCTGTGTCTCATAAACACACTCACTAGCCTTCGTTCTTCTCATGTATATGCTCTGCGCAAACATATTGTTACACTTGAGATGAAAACTATTCTCGCTGCTCAGACATGTGTGGTTCCACTTAATAATTTTCGATTGCGTATATTGTTGCAACGGTTATAGTTTCAAATGTGTCTCGACTTTGTCTTACTCGCTCTCTCTCACTTTTAACTCACACATTCTCTATTTCCTTTTGGCTGCTTTTTTTTCTCATCTGTTTTCGTTCAGTTTTCTCGAACATGAGATGAAATGTATATTTGTTTAACATTTTCCGCTGCGGCTACTTAAAAATTGACATATTTATTTATTTATTTATATGTATCCGTATATTTGCTCGAATAATTTGTATGCAATTATATGGTGCTGTGAAGGAATGTTTCCATTTTTCGTTTTATTTCATTGCACCGCAAGAAGGCACTTAATACCTTGTTCGATATTCTCTTATCTCTCTGCCAACAGACCGAAATGAAGGCCGCATAAGTTTAATGCCGCACGAATTTAACACAGAGGAAGTTTTAGTTTTGAAAGAAAATGAAAAAAAGTGCAACATTGACGCACGCAATGTTATTCTATGTAATGCAATTATGCGTTCCATCAAACCGGGACTGATTCCTTGAATTCTCCGCGCACCATTGTTTCGATATATACCATTTGCGGTCATGTTTGCTTACACCTGCCGCCGGCCACTAACTTCAATTCAGTCTCGTTTAAAAGAATTTCTGTAATAGCATTTAAAAAAAAAGAGAGAAACAAATGTGTGCACGGCAATGCAAACACCAAAACGGAAACAAGTGAGAAAGTTCGTAATTTATGTGTTTTTCATTTTGGTCAATGTGCACACCAGAATAATTACAGTAATCTTATTGCCGTCAATTCGGTGTGAATGATGGTGTTTCGGATATTTCGTTCGTTCTTGTTGATTGAAAATCACAAACACATGCACACGCACACCAACAATTAAATAATCAATAAATTTCATTTTAATCTCTCCATTCATATGATTGATTTTTCCTTATTTTTTAAAAAATCTTATTTCATTCTCTCTTTTTTTGCAGCTTACGTTCAAATGCAGTGGCAGTTCACATCCACCACCATCACAATTAGATTCACATGTGGATCCACATACTGGAGTTTCATTACGGGAAGTGACCGCCACTATATCGAAAGATTTAGTGTACGAATATTTCGGCAAGTCACCGTTTAAATGTGATTGTCATGCGTGGTCACCGCGTGGAAAGGCAAAAAGCCAGTCGGCTACCATTGAAGTTGCATGTAAGTGATTCATTTAAACATTTTCTTGTTCGTCGGAGGATGCTTTTACTATATTACGGGTGGATGAGAGAAATCACTTGTGGTCATGGGCAGTTGTGTGGCATGTGTTTTGTTTGACATTAATTTGTAAAAATGCTGAAATGTACGCCAAGAGAATAAAAGAGTTTGTACAAGAACAGCAGCATCACAGTACGAGTTATATGTGCAGGCACACTGGCAAACATGCATTTTAACAAAAGATATACGCCTCATGCTGTTCATATATATATTTTTTTAAATTATAACAACAACAACAACAACAACAACAATAACAATAATAATATGTTTTATTTTATATCTTGGGCTTGTCCGCGTTCGATTTTTTTCTCTCCAATATTATGTGCTCATGTGCATATAAGAAGAATTTAAAAGAATTAACCTTGTGTCGTCGCTGTATTACCACCACTCGCACATACACACACACACACACTCACACACAGAATATTGATAATATTTAGGGTTTTATTTGTCACCGATGTTTTGATAGTTAATGTCTGCGTACTGTTATTGTTACACACATGGTGATGCATGTTGCTCTTGCATTTTAATTTATTTGCAGGCGCGCGCGTATAGAAAACTCCTTTTTCAAATAGAGTTAAAATGCGGGTTGAATGAATGCGCATACACATGCATGCACGCAATAACAACCGGTAAAAATATTTGTGATATTTTTTTGAGTCTTTTTATGGTTGTTGTTTTTTTTTTCACTGAAATCGTATATTACAGTGAGCTCACGCGCGCACAGAGAAAGAGAATGACAGACCATCCAATGATTGCCAATGCCAACATCATTCATATTCTCTCTGGATTCGATATTAAAATAAAATTCAATATGTTCGATCGAAACCATTTAAATGATAATTTCGGAAACAGAAAATATCATTTTACTGCATACTGTGTAGTGTGCTGGCTACCCCATGGATTTTGATGCGGAAAATATTCAATTTAATTTGAAATTCATTAATACTATTACTGTTATTATTTTATGTATTTTTTTTTATTTGAAACGATTCAGCTTTTTTTAGTTTTTGGAAAAAGATGCGAATCGAATAAAAACGCTTCAAACCTCCGAGAATTTCGTGGTTTTCTCAATCGTTAACTGAAACATGTGCACCATTTTGATCGAACCGAATCAACGTTTTCGTAATGAAAATGTTTTCTTTCCTGGTCATAATTTATTGTTTGTCATAAAGAATTTAGCGCTTGCAGAAAACAAGAGACGATGAGATGCAGTATTCTTGTAACCGAACCAATTTTTTTCTTCTCGTTTTTCTCTCATTTCAACTGGAAGCGACCTGGTACAAAATGTTGCCACATATAAAATCGTTCAACATTTTAACTCTCTAATTTAGCAAACAGAGCAAGCGAGCACATAAAATGAAACAAAAAAATCAATAATAATTCCCTCAGCGTTTTTGTATGTGCTTTCCATTCGTTTGAATTGCAATCGAGTTTGATTTTGTGTGTGTGTGTGTGTGTGTGTTGTTATAATTTTTTTTTCTCTTTGTTCGCTATAAATTGGCTTCAATTCAAAAACTTACAAAGTGTGCGTATCGCTTCGGTGCCAAAACGAATACATATTTTTCTACACTGAACTGTTCCCCGGCCAATTCGATCGCTTTGGTGATTGTTGAATTTGATGTGCGCGTATGTAGTTTGTGCAAGCTCAAGAAAAGCATCATCGGGGGTCAATTCAATCAGATTAATTGACCATTTCGTGTAACGAGCACCGATTAATGTCATCTTCATTTATATCTCCATATAATGTTTTCACTCATAATCGCTTTTGAAAAAGAAACATTCATTTATACCTCCTAATGGCAACAGAAAAACTTGTTCGATGAGCGCGAGACGCGCACACACACCACACAGATAAAATCACACTAAATGTCTATCATATCGGTTGAGATGATGCCAATTCCATCGAATCGCATTCACGTTTTTGCCGGTTGTTGTTGCTGTTCGGTCTGTTTTTTTTTTTCGTTGCATTTAGCCGTTCATTTTCTTGAAAGATTATGGATAAAGTTTTATCTTTAAGCTGATTTCTATGTGGTGTATACTTTTCTCTCTCTCTTTCGTTCTCTCTCTCCGCCTGTCTGTCTGTCCAATTGAATGTGCATTGGCCGTTTTTTTCTTCGTTTTGCTGCTCTTGCCGATCAACCATCTTATCCATGGATGGACAGAAGAACGACAGTTCGGTCTCAAACCGTCAGAAAAGTATTACCAGGTTTTAGTGAATAATTAAATGATAAATCCCCACTTAAACAAACGTATAAGCAGGCAATTTAATAATGATTAAAGAATCGGTTTATAACTTATTGACTGCACTATGAGCAAACACATATCAAAGCATTTGTGTTTTGAGAGCTCTCTCCGATTCATTTTCTCTTCCACCAAATTCCTACGCAGTTCCAGTTCAATGATATCGATTTTTGATGTTTACCAGGCGATCCCATCTATCAATCTGTCATTTCAATAGATTATGATCAATGGCATTTTTTTTCGCTGCTTTTTTACTGAAACAACAACAACAACAACACCGATAAAACCTGCAAACGAATGAACCAATTTTCTAGCATAATGTCAATGTTTTCTTAATTTATTCTGTTGTGGTTTGTGGAATGAGATTGAAAATGTTACTTCATTTTTTTTTTTGTGGGTTGCACACATTCTGTTTTACTCATTGCAAAGA